TTTTATCAAATTTWAGTTTGTACTCCTGAGATGGGAGTTTAGTTTCAAAGCTCTGATATTGCTGAAGAGCACAACCAATTCACATTCTGCTATTTTTCCTGCCCTAAACTGGGATTTTAACAGCTATGCACCAGTTATATAAGGAAATATGCTAATGAAATATTAAAATTAAATAATTATATGATGATGCATCTTGATTATCTGACATAAAAATCTAGGACTGCAGCTATGAATCTTGATTGCCTTTTTGTCTGASTGATTTAGTGCTAAAAGTAAGTTCAGCAATCAGATTTTTAAAAAAAACAGATAAGAGACCAAAAAAAATAAAAGAGGGGTTCATTATGAGAACACCTTCCCACTGAAAAAATAAAGGCATTAACTTAGGACCTCTCCTGTTGCCAACAACCCAACTGTTCCTGCATTCCAAAAAAAAGTAAATTCCAATATCATCTACTTTGAACCATGGAAGACCAGGAAATTACATGTCTTAAATATCTACAAGGAACCGAATAGTTTTGATTGTTTTCCCRGGACACAGTGTGCTGTGTCCAGCTCTGGGACCCCCAGGATGAAAAGGACATGGACCTGCTGGAGCCAGTCCAGAGGAGAGCCACAAAGAGGAGAAACAAGGGCTAAAGAACCTCCTATGAGGACAGGCTGGGACWGCTGGGGCTCTTCAGCCTGGAGAAGAGAAGGCTTCAGGGACACTGAGAGCATCCTTCCAGTACTGAAAGGGGTCAACAAGAAGGCTGGAAAGGGATGTATACAAGGCCATGGAATGATAGGACAAGGGAGAATGAGTATAAATGGAAAGAGGGCAGGTTTACATTAGAGATGAGAAAGAAAGAGCAAGGACGGCACATTCTCCTGTTGTGTGATGTGCTGCCTGCAGGAACAAACCTTCAGATTTTGCCATTTTTCTGTTGYCTGCAAAGGCACAAAAAGTCCTGAGCACTTCTTTCTATGCCATTTATGCTCACTGATGCAAGAAGTTGTTAATATTCTTCTGCCACTGAAAGCTTTAATCACATAATGACCATTCTGCATTCATACCTTTCAAACAGAAAAAAAATAAACAAAACTTTGTTGTCTTCCCCCTCAATAGATGTCAGAAGAAATCGTGCTTGGCATGAATTTAACTATGTTAGTGACAACTTAATAATAATACCAACAGAGAATTAAACCCTCACATGAGGAATTTCATTATATTGCCATCAGAATTTCAATAATGCATAGTAAATGAGCTTGAAAACATACATTGTAAGGCACATCAGAGGTGAACTACTGAACATCTGCTTATGAAGTAAACTTGGTCTTATGCAGTGGGAGAGTTGAGGTTCCTAGCAGTATAAACAAAAGATCATGCACTGTGTCACAATCTTTACATGGCACCCAACAAGGACAATTACAATTGTAGAGAAAACCTTAATTCGTCCAGATTAGAATTTTCTATTTCACACTTTTCCATACTTTTCATGTAAATTTCATGCTCCATTTCTGCCCTCTGAAGGGCAGAAATCCTTATCAATATAACTAAACTTCTGCTCTATTGGGCATAAACCCTGTGCTATGTAGGACATTAGTGTTAAGATCAGAAAAGATCAGATGTCAAGATCAGATCAGAAAAGTAAGCTGTGCACACGCCTCCTGAGGCAGGAGGAAGCTGGAGTGTACCCCAGTTTTGCTCTTTATGTTCTTTCAATCCATGTTCCCTACCACATGCTGGACTTTAATACTGGGTAGGAGCTCAGACAACTGGTGGTCCAGTTATTTCAAAATGTCATGTTCAAATGTCATTTCTGAATATTTATTTCCAAATGAAAATGCAGCATTATTTTTTAACAGAAAAAAAAAATCTAATTTCTGTGTAATTCATTCTACCCTCTCCCTCCATAATTTCTGTGCCCATCTGCCATGCTGGGCTGAGGGCATATGTGTCTCAATTTAACGGATTGGATTTAAAAGTTAACACAGGCTGCAACACATCTGTGCTATCTCACATCATTGTTTTCAAGCCCTGCCACAGTTCCAACATTTCCTGAAGCCCTAGGAATTCATCACGCTTGGAAAGCCAAGGCAAAAAATCAAAACCAACAAACATGACGAGTCTGTCCTTTCTGTTGGCCTCACCTAGAGCCACAAGAACTCATGGGTGAAGCTGTCCTTCCCTGGCTTGCTTCCCTAACATCCTGCAGCTGCGCTAAGAAATAACTGTGACTGAAGGTTCACAACCTAGGACACACACTTTCAAACTTGTATTCTGCATAAATAATCTGTTCCTGCTCAGTCGCTTGAACTAATTGCTCATTTCTCACTCTCTTATGTGAGAAATGAGCAAATAACAGCCTTATCTAAGCTTTCTAAAATATAAAATGTCTTGGATTTAATTCATACCTCCTAACAACTGCTTACATTTGTATACATACCAGACAGAATGTCTGTTTCAGTTTTCTTCATTTCTGCATTTTTGTTTTTACTGGAGTTAACAAAGAAAATAAGATAATTTCTAAATAAACAAGTAATGAAGGAAATAATCCAATTTTTTAATTCTTTCAACAATTGTTTCGTATTTCCAGCCACCAATCAACAGTACTAGAAGACACAGTCTTTTATATCATCAAATCCATCTCTTTGTCAGGACAAGGTAACCTCTCTTCTATGAAAATCTCAAGTTTATGGGAAAAAAAAAAAGAAAATAAAAGAAAAATACAGCTCCTTTCTACAGCTTTATCCATCTCTCTGATTCTGCAGAAAACAACTTCATCTTTCAAATGCATGATAGCTGAGATTACTGCCAGAAAAAAGAAAACCACAGGAAAATGAGTTCACAATCCAGATGCTCTGCCCAAGGCAGGACTTTCTGATGCTAATCTCAAAGGTAGTCCACCACTAGAAAAAGCTAGAAAAGCTGCAGTCCAGAGCCTTGACTGAGGTCAAATAATGTTCCTCCAAGTATTCTTGTTCTCCTTTTCTGCAGACCCAACTCTTTGCCATATTACCTGAGGATTCAGTGCATTTCTAAGAGATTTAGAACTCAGGACTCAGCCAACTCAGCAAAGTCCAGACAGCTGCCAGTATCACAGAGAAATCTCCTTTGGCTGCAGCTCAGGCTGTATACATCCTACTGAAAGATGAGATCACCTTGGAATTATAACTGAGGACATCTCAGACTTCTCTAATGCTTTTACAGCAGTTTGCCCAAGAGCAAGAAAAAAGCAACCCCCATCTACCTCTGGAAACAATTCAATGCTCCAGAAGAGACAATGACCAGTGAAATCAGGGCATTAGCTGATTTGCCTGCAACTCAGAAATCTGCGGCTCTTCTTCCCTCATGACTCTTGTTATTACTTAGAAACAGTTCCACCTGTAAACACACACTAAACATATTATGCACACATTGATATGCTCATATATAGCATATAGCATATATATATATATATATATAGCATATATATATATATATATACTAGATTCTCTAGATATATATTCACTAAATAGATTATGGCCGGAGTTATTCAGCCTGGAAAAGAGAAGGCCCCAGAGAGACTTCATTGCAAATTTCCATACTTTAAGGGGGCTTAAAGAAAGGAAGGGAGATTAACTTTTTATACAGGCATGTAGTGACAGGACAAGGGCAATATTTTTAAGCTGAAAGAGGATGGGTTTATGTTAGATTTTAGGAAGAAACTCTTTCCTCAGGTGTGGTGAAGTCCTCGAACAGATTACCCAGAGGAGCTGCAAATGCTCCATCCCTGGAAGTGTTAGAGGGAAGATTGGATGGAGTTCTGATCCAGTGGAAGGTGTCCCTGCCCATGGCAGAGAGCTTGGAACTAGATCATCTTTAAGGTCCTTTCCAACTCGAACCATTCCACAATTCCATGATTCTGTGATAATAATACAACAAATTTTTACCAGGTAGATGTTCTGCATATCTGTCAACCAGTAGCCTCTTTTAAATGATCATATGAATATCTTTGTCTGGCAGTGTCACAACTAGACAATTCCCTCTAAATCCTCTTTTCTTAGAAACATAATCCCAAATTTCTTTATTTGCAGAACTACTCTCAGTAACTCTTTGCAAGATGCACTGACCACCAGAGAAATTCACCCTTATTCGTGCTTCCATCCTGAATGATAAGGATTGGGTCAGAAGCTTGGCCCAATGCAGATATAGTTTTGTTTATGCCTGTTCCAAGACATGTTCTTAGAACACAGAGGTAGGAACTGCACAGGGAACAACTCTTACACAGAGCAAGACTTTCTCATTTTATCTACAGGTATTTTCTTTGGCATGTGATGGAAGCCACCAGACAGGCTTCATTAGAAACCCCTTGTCCAAATATTGCCCACATTTCTTTACAAAACATCTGAAGACTAGGACATCTTATAAACCTAAGTTATTCTAAAGAGACATTTTTGACCTGGCCTTGAGGCTGAGGCATCAAAACTGCCTTCTCCCTCCACACATCAGTCCCTAACAGTTAATGTATGAAAACTTTCTATATTTCAGATTAATCCCATGTGAGTGGTGGAAGCCTAAATATGAAAAGCAGACTAGTTTGTCCCAAGTCCCATGTTTTTCCCCAACACAATAAAGCTTTGGAATCAATACAGAAGACAGTTGCACCGTATCTCTCAGTAACTCACTGAATTATGACTCTTCTCACAAACCACAAATTCAAGCTTGGAAATCATCCTCARAGGAACAAGGAAACTTCTAACACTTAATATAATGTGAGTGTTCAACAGACAATGAGAAAAATAGGTATATTTCTCCCCTCACCTTCACTCTCTATTTCAACTTCGCAGGGCTTTGCTGTGTGSGAGGTACAATTAAACAGGGACAGAACATGAGGGAGAGTGCACAAAGTCATAAATTTTAYTGTGGCAAAGCAGTTCACTGGTTCTATCCAGTAACTAGTCACAGGTCAGCTGAAAACAGTTGTTCTCCACTGGGCACTGCAAGCTGACCAGTGGTGTGTGGAAAGCCAGATGCCTACCTTGTCTCGAATGCCTTGTCTCATAACTTCTCTTTCAGCCTCCATCTTGGCATATTTGGCTTTCCTCTCTTCCTCTTGTTGCCGGAGGGCTTCCTGTCGTTCCTCTTCTTTCTTAGCAGCATCTGGGTCTTTCTCCTCATCCCCACCCAGCATCTTTCCCATGTCTTTGGTAGCCCCTAGAGAAAGCACAAGAGAAAATCAGCGCTGTAAGAATGTGGCAAAAACCCTCAGGATGTGCGGTCTCTCCTTCCCCATGCTCAAGGCCATCTGTCATTCCCTCTGCACCAGGAAAGRTTTCTCCTTTAACTGAGGAGGCAGCACACTCTCTCCCAAGGCAGGAGGTGGGCAAAGCATTTGACCTGATGAGATAAATTTCCTGGCACCAGCAGGAGAAGCACAGCAGCAAAAGGAAGAGACTGAATCTGTAGACTTGCATGATGGCAGCACAGTTTTTTTTTCCAGTCCTGAAAGGGACAAGCTGCCATCCAGACTATTTTTTCAGTTTATCAGCTCAGCCAAGTGACTGAAGATTGATTTTGAAGGATCTTTAATATAATAGGCAGGTAATACATCCAGAACAAAATGACACCAGGGCTCGGAAAGGAACTTGAAATCTTGATGGCTGGGATGAGTAATCACAGTCTTAATTGTTGTCAGAAATTACACATCCCATGACAGGTAGGACCACACAGCATTAGCAAACAGTTGGAGTTGATGAATTCTAGGCTCCTACTGTGGACCAGAAAGAAGCAGCAGCTCTGCATGTCTCTTATCTGTTCTTGGATACCACAGCCTGTAATGCTTAGTACCTAGGTGGGATCCAGGCTTTGTCTTGTCCTCTTTCTACTGCTGAATACACATAGTTCCCAAATTTTCAGTCCCTGTGTATTCCTGCCCCAGTTCTTTGTTGCTGTGCAAAGCCCTTGCAGAACTGTGCAAATGAGGAGGAGCCTCAAATGCATGCCCCTCTATTCCCACAGAGCTGCATAAACCCACTTATCCTGCATTTCAGAGACATTTTTATTAGCAAATGACTGTCAATCATGCAGCCAGAGAGGCAAACAGTTGTTGAGGGAAGGGGGARAGCATGTACTGTGATACAGCATCAGCAGGGCTGGAGGGCTGCAGCAGGATCAAGCCTGATTACATGGATGGAGTGAAGGCACATATCCTTTGGAAGCAGTGTTGGATTTTGTAGTAGGAAAACACTCTGTATCTTTTACTAAATGAGGTTCCTTCACCCTGGAAAAGCACTGTAGGTCCTTAGATGCTGAGTCAGGACAGCTCGACATTGGCTCATTGCTGGCTGAGCTGTAACTGAGTTAATCTGAGACAGCCTCSTTCTAACAGTCACAAATATACATATTCAACATCTCTTGTTTTGCATAAAGCAAAGCTTTCTTGCCTTTACAGAGGCTTGGATTGGARCGACACATTATCAAAGTCCTTCTAAATAATTGTGTGTTGGCCTTATCATGGGCTAAGTAAAGGAAAGAGGTTTTCACAACCCCAGGTAAATGACTCTTCTAAATTAGTCCTCAGTGTGTCAACACTGCTGGAGGACTGTATTTGCTCTTACTTTCCCCTTTGGTTCTTGGGATAAAGATATGTGAAACCTTGGTTCTTCAGGGGAGAAACATCRTCAATCTGGCAGAATGATTCCTCCTGAATTGCCATAGTGATGGCAGTTAACAGATTAACTATAATTTCTAGTAACCGCCAAGGAATTTGTAAAGAGATAAACAGATCCCTTTTCTCTCCACATGTCTTTTCCAGGTTGCATGTTTTCTCAGAGCTCTAAACTGAAAGCCACCCTGAACCAAAAACAATCCTCCAGTCCCCCAAAATGACAGAGAAATGCCCCTTTTACAGCTCCCACAGAGAAGCATGGGGAAACTGGTAATWGTAAGCCTTACAAGACCTGGTTGTAATACACAGGAGGGTTTTTTGGCCCAGTGGGAAATAACAACTATAACCATGACTGTGTCCATTCAACTGCCTAACCACAAACCTCTTGACACTTCCATTGTTAGGAAATCTGTGGCTTGAAACAAAAAGACACCTMGGGACCCGAACAAACCCGACCTGGGAAATTCGTGGTCCCTATCTATTGTCAGAGTTCCTCTACTCCCATTTTGCATCCTTCATCACAGGACTAGAGTAGAACAGAAGAAACTCTTGCATATTGATAGCAAATTTACCCAGACCATCTGGTGATTTCTTTCCTGTAAGCCAAGGAAGGCTAACTGAAATTGCAAGCAAGCTAAAATTTCATAGCAAGTAGAAAGGAAACACAGTCAGTTGGGTCACACATCSCTACTGCGGAACCTCTCTAAGCAGCCTTATTTGGCATACATCATTGATCATACCTCTCACTAACACCCTTAATTTATAGGCTACCCTCAACAGATTTCTCCACTGATGATCAAACTTAGGTTCAATAATCTTTCAAGTKTTTCTCTTTTTAGCTTCTCTCCAGTTAGAGCTACCCAGACAGTATAATACTCCAGTTACTTAGGAAACAGAGTTCAGTAGCAGAAAGAGATTATTTTTTTCCCTCTAAGCACTACTTCCAGGCTATCATTAAGTTACAATGTCAGCTCAGCTCATCATGTAAGAAGTGAAAATGCATAACTTTCTTTTATTTCTTAGACAAGATCAAGATTTAAAATGTTTTAGGCATTTGGTTCTGCAGCCATTTAGCATATGGGACACTTAAAAGGACAAGAATGTAGTTTCGGGGTCCTCATAGACTCTCTTAATTCATCTCTGATTTCAAAGTCACCYTCTAAATGTGCAAAATGATGCTCAGAAATATCACTGTTAACTAATTGGAAGGAAATGTATTATGAGAACAAAAATTTTGCACTATATTTTAACAAGGACTCTTGTGTAACTTCTGGGAAAGAAAAGCTTTTTTTTTTATCTCCTTTGTTCTTCATCCTAAACCGTAGACTTTATTGTTAACACTGCCTGTGTTTAGCTGCTCAGCAGCGAGGATACCAGAGAACTCATCCACATGCCACAGAGGTGCTGCAGTTGTGGGCAGAAGCAGAAGGAAAGAGCAGTTCTGTCCTTCAGCCTGCAATTGAAGCTTCCAAGGAAACCAGGGAAGGACGCCCTTATTGAATGTGTTCATATGATAAGCCTGGGGTGTTTTGTCTTCCGTTTTGTCCTTTTGTCTTTCACACCCCTACAGTGACCTACACCTTGACACAAAGACTGCCACAGAATTCACTAATCAGTAAAGGGGTTCAATCAACATAATTTCTAACATATTTAAACAAGGTTACAGAAAGAAAACAGAAATGGCTAAAGCTCCAAGGCAACATGTGCAAACTGTCACGTTTCTGGCTACAATGAACAGTCCTGCCCTTAAAAGATAAAAAACTTCCATATGGAAAATAATCCCAGAACTGCTGTGTTTGAAAACAAGCAGCATGGCAGCTATTTCAAAGTAATAGTCATTCCCTTAATCCATATGGGCTAAATAGCTAAACAATCAGGTGTTAAGCCAAATACCATGGGTGCACTCAGATATATTGTGCTGGTTTTGGACGAGATGGAGTTAATTTTCTTCACAGAACAAGTAATGCATTGCATTTTGGATTTGTCCTGAGTATAGTGATGATAGGGATGTTATTGCAGAGCAGGGTTTGCACAGAGACAAGGTCTGTCTGCATTTTGTACTGCCACGCTGGCAAGGAACCTGGGGGTGAATGAAAAACTGGGAGGGGACACAGCCAGGATGGGTAACCCAAACAGACCAAAGGGATATTCCAGATCAGTATTTAAAGCTTGGTGCAAGAAGAAGGAAGGTGGGGACATTTGAGTAATGTCATTTGATTCACCAAGTCACCTTGAGGTGTAATGGGATCCTGCTGTCCTGGAGACAGCACCTGCCTGCCCATGGGAATTAATTTGTTGTTTTACTTTGCTTGTATGTGCAGATTTTGCTTTCCCTATTAAACTACCTTTATCTCAAACCCATAAATTTTCTGGCTGGTGKGGAAGTGAGTGAGCCGTTGCCTGGTGCTTGGTTGCTGGCTGGGGTTAAAACAGACTCAGATCTTGTGCAACTCTGTGAGACCTCACAAGTGTAAATGGCACCTGAGAGTGACTGAAGTTAATTTTGCAAGGAAAATGGTGGAGTACATGCCCAAACATATCCAGAATCTGAACTGAAGAAAAGTAAGTTCTTAAAAGCCAGACTTCTGTTACAAGAGCACTACCATCTATGACCTAAGCCCTCAAAAACTGACATTAATCCAGCTCTCACACAGAAAACATAAACTCACAGAATCGACTTGCAGGAACAAGTGAATTTGCTGCTTGATAAAAAAAAAAGTGTCTTAAATATGGTAGGTGAAGTTGTGTGCTTGCAAAATCTACAGGATTAGGATTGCTAAGGATGTCTTATGGAGAAATAGGAACACCTTAGGCATTCTTAATTAAGTAAAGAAAGATGGAAATTTGCACACACCATTGTTTCAGGTAAGGTAATTAAGTGAAATCAAAAGAATTTCTTTTGCTCAAATCTCACTTCATATTGTAGACAAATGACACGCAAACCATTTCAAAATGCCTGCATGTGTGTATACCCAGACCTCAGAGGATGGTGCAGAAGTTCTCCCTCTCAATCACAGGTTTCAGAGGAAACAGAAAGAAACTGGCATGTGCTGTGGGAATTTTACAGGGGTTTTTTTGAGGGTTTTTTTTTTTGGGTTTTTTTTTTTTTTTTGGAGGTACTATTTGTGGCTGAGCCATATTTAGATTGAAGAGACAGGACAACTGATTCCTCAGAGTCTCTAAATCACAGCATGACTTCTATCACATCATCCTAACATAAGGAGCTAATCACAGAGTACATTTMTGAAGCAGTAATAGGTCACTCATTTTTGCAGACTCATTTCAGAACCAGAACTAAGCACATTTTATTGATATCAATGAAGATCATCAAGACCATAATATAAAGCTTAAAAAACAACCAAAACATCTGCCTTCCTCCTGTTATGGTTTCAATAAAAATGTAACAAGCTCTCAGGAGGGTATTGTCTGACATTTGTAAGYGGTATTTCCATGAACAAAAGAATGTATTTATATATTAGTACTGAATAACTCCAAAGGAACCATCACAATTTATTAATTAATTGTAACTAATATACCTACTGAAATG